TTTTTTAAAAATTTCGATAGTAGCACATAAACAATGTCAAAGTAGAAAACAAAAATTTCTTTTAATTGGATTAAAATTTTTATTATACATATATATTTATTTATTTCGATAAATTAAACTAAAATATACCGGTGACATCATAAATGATAATCATGTTTTATAAGTTACATTTTTAAGCATTTGTGCATAAATTTTTCTTGTTATATCCATAGGACAATTAAGATTATTAAAATCTTCTTTAATAATATCAATTGATGTTGTTATTGATAATATTTATAAAATTCATGGTAAATATTTAGGTAATAATTGTTTATTTAATGGTAATGGAAGAAATTGTTCAATTAATAAAACTAATATAAGACCACTTTCATATAAATGTATTCCTTCACAAACGAATAAATGACTTGCAACTGATGTATGATGTATAACACCAGATAAATTATGTACCTATGTGCATGTATCACTTTGTTCAATAAAAAATAATAATAATAATAATTGATAATGTGTTGTTATTGATGTAAAATGTTCAACATATAATTCATGATGACATATTAAATCACAATAAGATTGTAATTGACTACTTATAGATAAATGTGTTATTAATGATGATGGTGTTAATATTGGTGACCACCATGCTTCTTGTATATAATCAAGTATATTCAGAATATGTGTCCATTGTAATACTAATGAGATATACAATGATGATCATAATAATTTAAAACATTCATTTAAAATAGTTAAATATGAAAATATATCAAGACGATGTACAGTTTCATCATGAATTAATCATTGACATAAATCATTTACAATTGTTCGAAAATTGTTTAGCTAAAATAAAATCATAGATTTTATATAAGCATAGGAATTTTAAAGTCAAATGTTTTTCGCTAGCTCATTAGTAATTAATGAATTGCAGGAAAGTTTTATCTTCAAATTAATGGGTGATATGTACATAAAGATAATCGGATACAAGAGAAACTAATGTCATATTGATTTGACCACATAATTGTCAAGTATTAGTTAAAATTCGTAATATTACGTCATGTAAAATTCGAAGAAAAGCTCTGAAAACAAAAACGAGAATAATAGTTTTTAAATTATAAATAAAATCATTTCGAATATTTACGCACTAAAAGTTTCATCTCGTGTTTCATTAACTGATAATAGAACATCATTCTATTGTGTTAATATAGCATCTTCAGTTGAATTTTGTACAAGACATCGAAGTATTATATTTATATTGATTAACTATCGATTTCTAGATTGACAATTGACATTCTAAAAAATTTTAAACTACAGAAAAATTTTATAAATAAAAACAACGAACATTTCTATTTACTAATGCTCGAAAAGCAATAACAAATGGATCAATTGATCGTAATGCAGCTGATGAGACAACATCAAATAGTGTTAATTGTGTGGAATAAATATCCAAAAGTGATTGATTCTATTTGAACAAAAAAATAACCTGAGATAAACCAATAGTAACATGTGATTGTAAATGAACAAGAAGTACATGGACAATTTATCGTGAAAGACGTTTCCATTTATCATCTTCAATTTGAACACTATTAACAATAACTGTTAACAGTCGTAAAGCCTATAACAATATAAATTCTATTATTATTTTTTCAGTACATACACATGATATGAAAAGATACTTGTATTTATAATAATTAAGACGCCTAGTTTTCCTTCAAACTCAAATACATAACAACAAGATGATTATTTTCAGATCATCAATTCGTTGAAGTGTGGGTGTGGGTTCAATCGAGGAGAAAAATTACATATACACACCCACACTCACAACTTCTCGAGTTTCTAAGATATTTGAGACCTTATAGAGAGACACCTTTTGTTCACTCTCATTTAATAAAACTTTTTAGGAATTTTAATTATTCGCATAACTCGAACAAGAAAAAAAATCATATAAAACTGGTTCTAATGCTGCCAAAGCTAAATAAAGAATTTTAACGATCATTTCTTTTTCTCGAAAATGTTTTTTTTTACTTCCTACCATGCGTTTCAGGTTCATGTCCACTTGCTAATAATGAATCATAATGTTTTATTAAATCTTGTACTTTAACAACTTGTTTTGAATAAAGTGTATCATGTGATAACATAACAAGAAATTCAGCAATACAATAAATAAAATGCTATTTAAAAATAAACGAAACGATTATAAATGCAACGAATTTTATCCGCTTCTAATTAACTATAATTAACACGAATTAAAAGCAATTGAACAAATAAATCGAGTATAGCAGCTTGAAAATCATTTTCATTTGTATATTAATATATTTTTTAAGACTAATTTTTTAGTTCAGTAAAAACTAAAATAGAAAACAAAAAATAACAGAATAGATCAAATTCGTTTTTTTGTTTATTTTACTCTCGTATTGCACTATTTTCTATGAATTGATCACGATTTATACTTAATGCATAACGTGAACCAAATAAAATAAATTATCAGTTGTCGAATATTTATTGTACGAATATAAGTTAAAGAATTATTTAATGATACTTGTGAAGAAACATTTGAAGATTTAATAAAAACTAAATTAAAAGAATATTTTTAAATGAATGTTGTGTTAACAGAAAAAATGATTTTCAAATTTCGAATTGATAGCGTTTCTTGCAGATCGCTCATGTCGACTAGATGATTTAATATTTGAATTTCGAGATAGAACCGAATCAAAAGATCTGACACTTTCACAACAAAACTAATCTCGTTAAGATCATCGATATTTGTAAAATCAGTTTTTCTGTTACTATGACATTCTTATATTGAAATTTTCCTTCTCTAGGAAAGACCCTTTCAGAAACCTTCATTATAAGATTTCCATCTAAAGTTTTATCCATAGACAAGTTTCAGACACAATACAACATCCTAAAGGTTTTAGCTTAACCAATAAACAAAGAAGATTAATAATTGAAATTTTCTTTACAATAAATATTTACTATTTAGAAGAAGTTACCTCTTGTGTACATTGAATGTTGATTTAAAATAATTAAGTGTTTCTCTTCCAAATTTGTTTGATAAATCTTGTGTAGAAATAGGACTTAAAACTGATTTCATAGATAATAATGATCATTTCTGATGAATTTAATAAACTTTTATGTAATTGATAAGATGAACGTATTAATTCGAATAATTTCCAAAAGTACCTAATTGTGTACGATTAACTTTTTGTATCTTTGATGTTGTTGATGAATCTTTATTATTCTCTTTAAAAAGAAAAACAAATGAATTCGTTCAGACGAAACATGATTACATATATTCTTCAAATCTAACACTTTGGAACTCCTTTCTTCTCTGAAAACTGAAATATCAACTATATTCTGTCCAAAAGAATGATGATTGTGAATATTTTTGTAATGGTTCGAGAACTATGATAAAATAGTTCAGTTTTTCGAATTACTTGAATCATTTGTGCTACTTTCAAAACATTTTTTCATTTGTTGAGATTTGATAAATCTTCAAATAGAAAGAAAGAATTCAAAAAAAAACATAATAAATATCTTTTTTTTTCTTTACTTGAAAAGATTAAATTATTAAGATCATGTAATATAAAGGGATGTTTAAAAAAAAATTATAAATAAACGAAGTTCATCATATTGATTATGAAAAAATTGGTCGAATTGTTGTTGATCTTAAAACATTTGAAAGAACATAAATATCTTTTAAACATCCAACCTATATAAAAGACAAAAATAACAAACAATTTTTATTCGAGTTGATGCTTGAGCTTGTAATGAATGATGAATTTTATATATCCATTGACATGGTTAAAATGAATTGTGATCAACAAAACCTTAAAATCAAAAAGTAGCTAATAACTAACTTAATTCAAGAAAATCGACTTATGCATTCAAATTCGAAAAAAAACTACCTAGTTAATATCTCTACAAAATGCATACTTAGCAAAAGTCGAAGCAATTGCTTGACGAACATGTATATCAGGGTACTGTTGTTTTAATTGTTGTTCAAGATAAGTTAAT